TCAGACCAGATGATCATAATGGTCCCTTCTGACCTTAAAGTCTATGAGTCTATGAAAGGGCATATCCGCATTCCTACAGAGAGTTCAAAACGATGACAAGAGTGGCCACTTGACTTAAGAGGATTATGGGACGTTTCCGGAGATCAATCAGAGCGCAGTAATGCAACACCTCGTTCACACTGGCGCTGCGGTGCTCCAGCGGGGGTGCAGGAAACATTATTCCACTCGCCGAGGTGGAGTACCAGCAGCGCTGTAGCCACGGAGTCAGAGCGCTCTACGTGTCTTGCCAGTGTGGACGGGAAGTGAGCTAGTACACCCTGGGCTCCTTTATTGCGCTGTAACTCGCAAGTGTAGCCAAGCCCTAATTCTCACACTATACTCTTCTTGATTCAAATACAGAAGGGAATAACTAGTTGAGAACTAAAGGCAAAATCAAAGAAAAAACTAAAATCATATAAAATATCTTTTCATAAATTAAGAGATTTTAAGGCCCGAATGAACCATGACCAGGAAAGTTTCACTCAGTGTTTACTGCATCAAACCCAATAACCTGTGGTTGAGCTAGTGTATATTTCTTAGAAAGACTTCAGATCTTCATTTAAATACTCCAAGTGATGGAGAATCTACCCTATTCCGTGGTAATCTGTTCCTGTGGGTAAATATTGTCACTGTTAAAAATTTGCACCTTATTTTCAGTTTGAATTTTTTAACTTCTGTTTCTAGCCATTGGATCATCTTATGCTTTTGTATGCTAGATTATAATCCTCTAATAATAAATAACTTCTCTTCATATAAATATTTGTATACCATGATCAAATTGCCTCTTAATGTTTTCTCTGATAAACTAAATAAATTGTACTCCTTAAGTCTCTCTTTGTAAGGCATGTTTTCCAGACCTCATGTCGTTAGCTATCTTGTACATTAAAGTCTGTGTAATTATTGTATTTTTGGACAGAGTCGTCCTCACTCTAGATCACAGAAATATATAGTTGATAATTTGGGATACAGATATCTCCCCTAGAGAAAACTTCATCCCAGCAACACTGATGGCACAAAACTACTCAGCTAATCCCTCATTAAAACCTTGAAGGATTCCTCGATGAAATAAGTCCAGAAAACTGAGTCAGAGAACCTAGGAGCAGTTACAGAACAACCAGCCTTAATTCCATGTGCTTCTAATGCAGACAGAGCTGCATGTTCTTTAATCCCTCTATTCCTGTGGCACCTGAAAATGGTTCTCCAGCAGTAGTGAAAAGGGTTCCTCTTGTGGGAGGATGGTGGTGGGGATGCTGAGCCAGCTTGCCCAAGATTTAGGGGTCAAGATGAAAAAAAGAATTTCATGCCTGTGACCAGTACAGCCACAGCCACATAGGCTTTAGAAATGATCAAAAAGGGATATCATAAAGATTTTCAGTGTTCTCCTCCTATTGCATTCTTTTCCCCACAAAGAGAAGTAGTAAGTCATATTGGACTCAATTCAGAACTTACTATATCCATCAGCAGAAGAGAGAGGAGCAGGTTTATACTTCAAATTCTGTGTTATCACTGAAAACAAAACAAAACACAAAACTGGAGGCTTCCACCCATTACTCACTTTCTTGTCTTTGGATCTGCAGATATGTTAAGCTCTCCATATTTTGGAAATTGCCCCCTCGTGATCTCCTGTGTTCAGCTGATCTAAGGGAAGTCTTCCTCTGTGTCTCCATTAACTCCTGCCAATCAATATTTTCTCCAGTTTGCTATCCAGAATCAATGTTTGCAAATCAAGACTATGCCACTGAGCCTCTCACCTGCCCCTTGGATGTATCTGAAACTGATGAAGATCCTAGTACCAGGTCTCACGTAGGAGGGAATCATATCTTTCATTACCTATTTAACCTCTTGGTAAAAGCTTTGTCCACAGAATCAGCAGTCCAGCACAAATTCAGGACAACTCAGGTTCATAGTTAACTTTCAGTGTAACTCCTTAATGCCACTTCAAAACACCAGCCCCCTAGTTACCATATAAAGTCCATCTTGTGCCTGGTCGTCTTATTTTGTGAAAAAAGCCTCAAGCTATATAGTACACAATTGATCAGTTTCTCAATACTACACAATCTTGACATGGAGCTGCTTTTGGTTAACTAGATTGGTAGTATAATATGTAAACATAGTCCGATAGGCAGTGCTTTCTATGTATATGCCTGCATAATGTTTTCATGAGAAATGGGAGCTTCCTATCTCTCGTAGGGCTGGGGCTGGACTCTCCAGTCCACATGTCCACATGCTCGCAACTTCCTCATCCTATGCTGCCTAGCCTCAACTTAAGTTAGAGTTCTGAGGAACAAACAGCCCTAATGTATGCCACTAGTGTAAGGCCCCTTGGTGACCTTAAACCATGGGGTATGAGGCACAGTTGTGCTCCACTCTGCCTTGCTCCTCTTCCTTTCTCCTAGTCCACCCCGTGGCATGCATCTGACTCACCCTTTCTTCCTCTTGTGCCAGGGGTGTGGAGAAGGCTGGCACAGAAGTCAGTTCTTCTGCCTGCCCTAGCTTTTTTCCAGATGAGTTTCCTTGTGCAGAGGAAATTCTGTGCTGGGCATATCTGGCCATTTGAAGTCCATGTGTTGCTGCTATGTTCAACCATGCAAAATGGATTTAACAAACCAGAGTCTATGACCCTTAATGCTTCATTCTATGCTTTGTGGAAGTCTAGGCACAACCTACTCAGAGTCAGTAAGCCCCTGGAGGAGCCTTTATCAAGGCCCAGATGAACAGAATATTTTTCTGTTTCAAGGCAATTAGTCGCACCAGGAGACTTTCTACAGAATAAACCTTCTGGAGCTGTGAGCAGCAGTAAGCGCTGTAGAGAATTTTCTTCACACAATTCCCCCAAAACAGTTTCACCATTCACATGGCAAGTGATAACAGAATGACAGTGGCCTGTGTACAATCATGCCATCAGAAGATTAACTCTTTATAAGGAACTAACTATCTTGAGCAAAATAATTTACATACATGGAAGTCTGATCTCCAAGCTATTTGGCTCATGTAGAACACACAAGGGGGAGCTATAGGTATGAAGGAACTAAAGAAATCTTATATTAAATAACATAGATTCATAGGTAGAACTCCTGTTGACTTCAGGAGGGCCTGGATTTCCACCACAGATTTAGTGGCAAGAAGGGACCATATCATCAATTGTATCTGTCCATACAAATCCAATTACTGATTAATTTTAGTGGTGTGGAAGGAGAACAGCTAAGCCTTTCTCATGGGCAAATAAGGAGCTATGAACAAGTTGTAGTTGGATGGTGATGAAGGGGAAGAACACATTTTCAGTATAACAACATGCAGTTGGTCCCTATGTAATAATTGTGTCCTAAGATAAATAGGATGCAGTAGTTCTGTAAATAAGATGCACTAGTTATTGTGTAAGTAAGTATATGGCAGAGATGTTTTTGTCACATTGACCATAATTTTTAATTTTCTTGACTTTTGTGCATAATTGCAAGCGTGACATTGCATTATTTTATGTATTTATTGTATTGGTTAAAACTAGTATTATGGAAATATGTCCCGTTAGCTCTTTGGTGCTAGGAAGTCATACTTCTTAACTTAACATTATAGGTAAAATGCCTACCAAGTACTTATCAACAGTTGTTGATTGATATGTATAAATGGTTTACAAGCATTTTGAATTCATTCATTCAATACTTCCAATTTTCATTATGCTGTTCCCTTTATCTAGTCTGCCAATAAGAAACCTCGAAAGTCTCCAGGAGATAAGAGTCGTTCTGAACCTGGAACTAGAGGAATAGGTCGTGGAAGAGCTAATGGTCACCCTCAACAGAATGGAGAAGGCGGGGACCCTGTCACTTTGTTTGAGGTGGTGAAACTGGGGAAAAGTGCGATGCAGGTAAAATAACCAATGTGCTGTTTGTTCATCTTTGTTGCAGCTTGGTCACTCAATATTTTCAGACTGTAACAGTTTTTGTAAACTATCGTATTGTGGTTGTATTTTGGATAATCTGTATCAGACTGATGGACTCTCTGGGTATTATGCTAAGATTTTTCCCCTCGGCTTGTATGCTGAAAGAAATGAGGAATGTGATCAAGGTTGAGATTATATGTGGAATAACTATAGTCCTAGAAGAAGTCTTCTACTTCAGTAAATTTCTTCACTATTTTGTTATTTTAAAATGGAAAAACAAGTGAGTACTAAAATTAGGGAATATTTAAAGCAGCTTTTCATGAAGGTTATCATGTATTAAGTATAGCAAGGCAGAAAAGATGTGAGATGTTTAATCACAGCAGGTAAACTTTTCAAAAGTACTGAAATGACTCAGAGCCCAATTCCCATTTTCAATTAATTCTAGGGAAAAGAATTCACAGCCTTCACCTCCAGGATTACAGGCTTCTGGCTAGTGGAATCATTCTACTAGAATGGGCTAGTCAATTATTTTTTGTCAAGATCCAGACTCCACAGAGAAAATAATAATATAAAAATAAATAAAAAGATTTCAGGGTCCATTCAAAAGTGTCTGGATTTGGCCTGCGATCTATCTATTGACTATCCCTGCACTAGAACATTAATTTTCACTGTGGACTCCTAGGACTGCAGAGACCTTCCTGGTGCAGTGTAGGAATGAAGTATTTTGACAACTGAGTAGTAGAAGATTCAGGTATTGGGAAGGAAGGTAAGGTTATGAGAGAAACACTATGCTTGGTTTGATGCTTATATATGTATAAGCATCTCTTAGGGAGATTTAGGCTAAGCCACTTAAGTGCTTTTGAAAATTTTATTCTAAATGACTTAGGCTAAGTCCCATTGACTTCTAGTAGCACGTAGGCGCCTAAGTGCCTAAGTCACTTTTGAAAACAAGATTGTCCAAAGTCACTTAAGCCCTTTTGAGAATTTTACCCACCAGACATAAATCCATGATGGGACTGGGTTGTGGATTAATTTAGAGAATGTAGGAGTAAACCTGAAGAAAATCAGAATTCTAAAGCTTTTTACATTTTGTGAATTTGGGGATGTAGGATTTACCCTTCTCATCTAGTAGGTGAAGACAGAACAAATTTTCTCATAACAGGACTATGGAAATCTTCCTGGTGCATTATCTTCATTTTGTTTTACTGCATCAGAGCTATCACTTCTGTTCATTTTCAGTTTTGTTTTGGCAGGATTCCAAGGTTATTTTGGAGTTTTTCAGTTTTATTATGAGATAGGAGATCTGATCTGATCTGTGTTTGCTGTTTATCTGAGAGCCATTGATAAAAATGGAAGCCAGAGAAAAGATACAAGTGACTGTTTTGCTGCTGTAGATTTTTTTTGAGTGCCTTTGTGAGTGGAACTCAGGTGTTTAAGAAATAGTTGCATTGCTTCTGTTCTGAATAGGATCCACTTATAGCAAGATATAAAGGTGGTGGGAACACAGATTCCAACAGTACTGCCTGTTCTTGGCAAATTTCAAAGGAGAAATTTGTGTGTGTGTTGTGACACTTTGGGATTCAATTCAGAAGGAAGTGAGTTAGGGAAAGTGACAGTTTAATGAATTTATTTATTTATTGTGAAGGAAGTGTGCTGAGCTTGTTGGAAGAGGGGTCTTTTTAAAGGGCAGGAGCCCTGGGGACATGAAGAAAGTAGTAGTGTGGGTGAGGTCACTCTAATGCCTGGGGCAAAATTTTTAGAAATTCCTAAGTCCCATTTTCAGTAGTAGCTTAGGCACTTAGGTGAAATTTTTACCCCGGTCAGCAGTAAAAAATGACTCATTACTGACAATAGGTGTTAGTACAGATAGAGCTGAAATGCTTAACACTTGTTTAGTTGCAAATATAGACTGAGAAAAACCACGTTCACCAGTGTTTCAGACACCAAGGTTACAAACTGATCAGACTTGGATATAT